TCTGGAATAAGGGGCCCTTCTTCATCATTTCTGTGGCAGAATTCTGCTGGCTTAGCACCAGAGTGATAGCAACCAGCCTTAATCACGAGTGGGCTATGCCTGGCCTAGCTCCGGAGAGTTAGCACCTATCCACAGCCAATCCTTTGTTGAGCAGATAACTTTTGTCTCCTTGTCCGAGCATTCCCCAAGGATACAAAATCCTATGCAAAACTTGATTCAGGAATCCTGGAAAACTCATCCTAAAGGATGAGTCTTTGCACTTGGCATTGTCTTTTTTGGAAGCCTCATTCAAGTTGTTCTGAGCATATGGTAATCAACTGGCTAAAGTGCAAATAAATAAATAAATAAATAAATAAATAAATAAATAAATAAATAGAAATGCCCTGGGCATAGGAAAGAGCTTCATTCCATTGAGGCTGGGGAACCCTGTAGCCTCGAAAGGCGAAGGTGATTCCTTTTGTTTGTTTTCTAAGACAGGGGTTCTCTGTGTAGCTTTCCCTGCCCCTGTGTAGTGAGTCCTAGCACTTGTCCTGTAGACCAAGCTGGCCTCAAACTCACAGAGATCCACCTGCCTCTGCCTCTGTCTCCTGAGTGCTGGGATTAAAGGCGTGGGCCACCTACTGCCTGGCTCTAAACCCATTCCAGAAAGTGTCTCTGAGTCTTTTCGACGGACCTGCATGAACCCACACCTGTGCCTAGACATCCACATCAATTACCCCTTTGTACCCTGCCCATTCCCACCCCGTCCTTAGGTCTGATGGGAAATAGGATTCTCCCTTCCCCCTAAGGTTTTGGAAGTGTCTTCTGAGCACTTCCTCTTCCCCCCCCCACCACTAGGTCTCATTGTTGGGTCCACCCAACACCAGTTCTTCCCGCCCCGCCAGGATCCAGGCTAACTTTGGATCACCAGCCTTCCTAGGGGCCCCATGCAAAACCCACGCCAACTCAAAGCCCCAGCAGACAGAGCCTCCACTGCTAAATTGTCCCTTCTGTTAAGGGGCTCTGAGGGTTTTGTCAAAGAGATTATTTTCCTACTCCTGATGTGGTCTGTGGGTAGATGTTCTCATTCTGAAAGGCCTATGGTTTTCTTCACAGAGGTCGGATGAAAGGGAAATGTGTTTGAGCATCCTGACTTAGCCTAGATCTAATAAAAGGGAACAGACATCTTGGCAGAGGGGAACTGAGTTTGGGTCTTGAAGGATGAATAAGAGTTGGTCAGAAAAAGGATATAGAGAAAGGTGTTCACTTGATCAGCACATTTCCACTTCCAAACACATGTAATTGAGACTCTGGTGTCTTCCGGGCCCAGTGTGGGAATGACAGAAAATAGTGAACACGGAAAGGCCCCTGTTCCCACAGAGCCCACAGAGGGTTTAAGTTCAGTTTCAGAACATGGAGTCTGGCCTACAGCTAGCTTCCTTCTGTTGGCTCTTCCCCCATCCCACACCAGTAGCATGCTCAGGAAATGTCAGTCCTCTGTGTCATCTGAGGGTCTTGCAACCCAGCCTCATGTTTGGAGGTAATTCATCTATGTCCTCTGCCAGGCCCCAAGATGACTCCAACCAAACCCTACCCCCAGGAAGTTGCTCATCAGGTCCAGAAGACAGGCAAGTCTCACATTCCTGTCATTCAGGTGCCTGTGAGGTCACTTCCTCCAGGAGGCCTTCCTGGATTGCCGTGTTGGTTACTGATCTCAATGGCTCAGTCCATTTCCTCTGTGGCATCTATGAGGACTCCTGCTGTCCTATTTGTATCTTTATTTATTTCCTCCCCATCACACACTGCCTGCTTCAATCCCCCTGCCCTGAAACAGAGATATCAGCTACATTAGACTCGTGCATATTAAATAACAGAAACAAACCTCGTATTTAAATCCAAGCTACTGAAGCTTGCTCAGTGGTTTAGAACACTGGCTGTTCCCGTTCCCAGCACCCACACGGTGGCTCACAACCATCCACAGCTCCAGTTCCAGGGGGTCCAATGCCTTCGTGGGACCTCTGCAGATACCAGGTATGCACACTACGCACATACACACATCCAGGAAAATATCCATGCCATAAAATAAAATCCTAAAAATCTTTGTAAAATCCCATTCTGGATGACTGCGCTATTGAGATGGCTCAGTGGGTAAAGGTGCTTGTTGCCAAGCCTGGGTTTCATCCACAGGACCCACAGGGAAGTCGTCCTTTGACCTCCACACATGTCTTGTATTGTGCCCACATAAAATAAATTAAATAAATGTAATTGTTAGAAGGTAGCTGAGATGACCCAGAGCACTAACAAACACTTGCAACACACAAAATAAGTGGTTTTTTGTTTGTTTGTTTGTTTTCCCAAAGGATAGCTATTAACACATACTTTTTTTTTTTTCTTTTGGTTTGGTTTTTTGAGACAGGATATCTCTGTGGCTTTGGAAGCTGTCCTAGAACTTGCTTTGTAGACCAGGCTGGCCTCGAACTCCCACAGATCCATCTGCCTTTGCCTCCTATGTGGTGCTGGGATTAAAGGCATGCACCACCACCGCCCAACTAACTCTATTCTAGGAGGGAGGGAGAGGGAACTGGGATTGACATGTAAAATAATAAATTTTAAAAATCTATTCTATCGTTATTTAATTGTGGGTGTGCACACAGATGAGTATGTACCTTCAGATACCAGAAGAGGGCATTAGATCTTCTGGACTGGAGTTACAATTCACAATATGGGATATTGGGAGCCACCTGATGCAGGTGCTAAGAATTGAACCTGATCTTTTGAAGAGCAGCAAGTGCTCCTAACCACAGATCCATGTCTCCAGCCCCTAGAATGTACTCCTAAAGCACACATGTAGTCCTTAGCATACAGCACCCAGTCCCAGCTCTCAGAGACAGCCACACCTGAGTGGAGAGCAATAGCTCACCTGAAGACTGTGCAGGGCTCTGTGGTGGATAAGAAGACAGTTTGCTGAACATGCTTCACATAGCAGGCACGTTTTGTGTCTGTATGTGCACTTGTCCATGTGTGCATGTGTGTGTGCATGTGTGTGTGCGTGTGGAGGCCAGAGGTCCACATCATTTGTCTCTGCTACTCTCCATTCCTCCTTCCTTTTGCAAATATCAGTCTAACTTTTTAAGAATAATTTATCTATTTAATATGCATGGGCATTTTTCCTCCATGTATGTCTGTGCACTGTGTGAATGCAGTGCCCCGGGGCCAGAAGAGAATGTCAGATCCCCGGAGCTGGACAGCTGTGAGCCATCAGGTGGGTGCTGGGAATTGAACCTGGGTCCTCTGGAAGAGCAGCCAGTGCTCTGAACCCCTGAGCCATCTCTCCAGCCCCCCTACCTCTTCCTATTATCTTATTATTTTTAACATATGCACATATGCATGGGATGGGGCGGAGTGTTGCCAGCACAGTGCATGTGTGGAGGTAAAGGCACAACTTCTTTCTTCCCCCAGATGGGTCCCGAGGGTCAAATCCATGTTTGGCAGCGAGCACCTTCAACCATTGAGCTTTCTCAATGGCTCTCCTTGGTTTTTGAGACAGAGCCTCCCACTGAACCTAGAGCTCACAGATTGGCCCGCCTGCCTGGCCAGCAAGCCCCCAGGATCTGTGCTGGTATTTAAAGCACACGAACCATTCTCTCTCTCTCTCTCTCTCTCTCTCTCTCTCTCTCTCTCTCTCTGTGTGTGTGTGTGTGTGTGTGTGTGTGTGTCTGTCTGTGTGTGTGTCTGTGTGTGTTCAAGTACATGTGTGTCTCTGTATTTTAAACAGGGCACTGGGGATTGAACTCAGGTTTGCACAGCAAGTACTTTAACCCACTTAACCATCTCCCCAGACATTCTTATGAGAGTAGCATCTGTTCTTCCGTGCCATCGCCCCCTCCCTGAAGCTTTGGTTATTATTGTCATTTAACAGCTCCAACAAGTAAGTCATGCATCTAATCTTTACCCCCAAGAAAACTGGGCACAGATGGTCCAGCTCAAAGTGCAATGTCATAGGGAGTAGATGGCAACCAGATATTCAGGCTCCTGGGCAGCAGAAAGTGTGTGGTGCTGGTCAGGGCCAAGTCAGTCTTGGCCCAAGAAATCATGGAAGACATGCCAGCAGAGGGGCGTTGGGTCTTGAAGATGAATAAGGATATGGAGAAAGACATTCACTCAGTCATTAGCACCTTTGGAGGACTCCAGAGAGCCACACCCAGAACAGGGTGATACTGGGGACAGGAATGAGTCAGACCCAGACTGGGCTCTCCAGGGGATTCACCCCATGCTGGGAGGGAGAAGCAGGAAAGACAAATGGGGTGGGGGATGGGTAAGAGCAATACAGCAGGAGCAAGGTGCGGGGAGGGTCGGAGGGAAGCGGGGAGATAGGCAGACAGACTTGAACTTGGTTCCAGAGAAGCTGAGCTCCTGGGTTCTTGGGGTACTTGGAACCGTGGGGAAGGTTATATGACAGGAGCGGATTAGTCCAGATGGGTTCAGATTTCTCAACACAGACAGCAGAGGCCCGCGTGCTTGAGGGAAGGAGCCCTGATCACAGTCCCAGAACAGGTTTGGTTTGGTGGAGAGAGCTTCACTGAGAGATTCATTCATTCCCTCTCATACATTCATACTCATATTCTCTCTGTCTCTCTCCCTCTCTCTCTCTCTTTCCCTCCCCTGCTCTTGCTTCCTCTTCCTTCTTCTCTTCCCCCCTTCTCCCCACTCCCCTCCTCTAAGCCACAGAACATCCTGAACTCAGATCTCACAGCCTGAGGTCAAGGGAAGCGAACTCCCACCCTCTCAAGGCTCTGGCGAACCTCACCCAGGTCCAGCACACTCCGCATTTAGCCCATTCTGCTGAGCTAGGAGCCCATGGAGAGTCCCCTTGTGCCCACCTTCCCTCCCAGAGGACCCTGGCATCAGGCCTTCCCCCTCCCCCGGGGACATTTCTCAACCCTGATTAATCACAGGGGCGGCCCCAGGGAGGAGGAAGGAAGATCTCTATGGCTTACCATAAAGAAGGCCAGGCGCCCAGCTGCAGGCCGCTGCTGGACCTGCGCCCAAGGTCATGAAGCTGGGACTTACCTTGGTGTTGCTGTCTCTCCTGGCAGGTGAGAAGCCCAGCTCCGCGCCCTCAACCCCATGCTACCCTATGCCATGTCCTCTGCCCACTGCACTCCCTAGCGTGCTCTTCCCCGAGTTCCCCCAGCCTGCTGTCTCTGACCCCTGTGCCCTCCACCGACCCCAGGCCACTGTGGAGCCGACACCCGCGCCGTGGGAGCCCGGGAATGCCGGCGCCACTCTCAACCTTGGCAGGCGGGCCTCTTTTACCTCACCCGACAGCTCTGCGGAGCCACGCTGATCAGTGACCGATGGCTACTCACAGCTGCCCACTGTCGCAAGCCGTGAGTGTCCAGGGCTGACCAGGCCCAGCGAGGGCTGGGAAACAGGAGTAGGAAAAGGGCTGAGGTGGAGGGTTGGGGGCTCAGAGTTGGAGGCAGGAGAGGTCTGACGTCAGGGTAGGGATCTTAGGGTCCTGCTCAGAAACCTTACTCTAAGACTCAACATGTAGGCTCTTCAGGGTCATGTGTCATCCTGGCCGTCCTAGAACTTGCAATGTAGACCAGACTGCCTGGAACACAGAGATCCACAGACATCTGCCTCCCCAGAGTGTAAGGGTTATAGACATCCTGGCCCAAACAGGAATTCAAGATCATTCTCCAGTAAAGAAAGAATTCTCAAACAGCTGTGATACATTCGACTCTGTCCAGAGAGAGAGGGAGAGAGGGAGAGAGAGAGAGGGAGAGAGAGAGGGGGAGAGGGAGAGGGAGAGAGAGAGGGAGAGGGAGAGGGGGAGAGGGAGAGGGAGAGGGAAAAAAGTGATTGATGGGAGAGGAGGGAAGGGACCAAAGGAGAATAAATGGAGAAAGACCTAGAGAGAGACAGACAAGAGGGAATGGAAAGATGGAGGGAAATTATAGAATCTTACAGCAGAAATGAATAGATTTTTCAGCCAGTGTTTGGAATACAGAGAATTCTATAAGCTTAGACTGATGAACATATCAATCTGGTGGGTTTCATGTCCTGGAATCCCACCACTGGACCAAGAGGGCTTTTCTCAGGGGCTCTTGACTGTGGATGCCTAACATTTTCTAAATCAAATGTTTATAGACTGCTAGACTGACAGAACTCTTGTCTTACTGTCCTGGCCTACTGGGAGTCTAGAATCTTTGAGCATTAGGTTTAATACAATCTTCAAATCCTGGAGTTTGTTTTCCAGACAGGGTTCACACAGTCCAGGCTGGCCTTGAACTGACTGCATAACGCAGTCAGAGATGTCTTTGAACCCCTGTTCTTCTTGCCTCTACCTCCTGAGTGCTGGATGACAGGAACTCATCCAGGACTGACATCTCAGACTTTTTATGAAACAAGACCAGAATGTTGGAAGTGTGGATCTATACAGTTCCCTAAGTTGAGCATCACAGAACTCCAGAAAACATGGGCAGTGAGGTATTAGGCTCTCAAAACTCTAGGATCCTTATTCTGGGTGTTCTAGGGTCCTGGACTCCATGAGGCGAGAGAATTATCTGTTCATTGCCCCTGGCCAGGGTCACCCAGGGTGTTACAACATTCTCGCCAGGATTTCCCAATATGCATCCCTCCAAGATGGGCACCATCTAGGGCTGAGAGGGATGATGTGTTGATTTAGCAACCCCCCGGCAGGGCGGTGGAGATTGAAGAAGAGTCAGGGAGTGGAGTGGCATGAAAAGGCTAGCTTCTGCACCCTCGGGATGCCAGATATAGAAATAACACCGCATACTCCCCAAATCCTGAATTTTCAATCATCATCATCAAAGGTTGGATGCTAGGGGACATGGAGACCTAAGACAGTCCCCAAATGCCCACAGCATGGAGTGAGACCAGAACAAGTTTTCTGGGGCTGTAGCAAGAAGAAATGCCTGGGCAATAAAGGATGTTACAGGTAGGAGTGGCTTAAGGCCTCTTGGAAAACTTGGAAGTTTTCCACGTCCTACCCCCCTCCATACACATATTGAAAACACTTAAAGCCACTCCCACAGAAGCCACCAGACCTGTGGGGGCAGGGGTGGGGTTGTTTTTGTGTGGTAGGTGGGGTCCCCGTGCATCCACAAAGTTCCAGTGGACCCAGGTCACCACTGAGGCCCCAGATCAGGTAGGAAAGAAGGTGATTGAGTCCACAAAGTAGGCTAAGAGCCTCAGAGAGGGTGCACGGTTGTGGAGGGGCGTACACTACATTGGAGGGACTGAACCACCTGTCCCCAGCCTGATCTCTGGTCTGTCCTCACAGGTATTTGTGGGTCCGCCTTGGGGAGCATCACCTGTGGCAGTGGGAAGGCCCCGAGAAGCTGCTTCTGGCCACGGATTTCTTTCCCCATCCTGGTTTTAATTCGGATCTCTCTGCCAATGACCACAATGACGACATCATGCTGATCAGGCTACCTAGGAAGGTCCAGATGAGTGCAGCTGTACAGCCCCTCAACCTCAGCCAGAGCCTGCCGACCGTGGGCTCCCAGTGCCTTATCTCTGGCTGGGGCAGCGTGTCCAGCTCCAAATGTATGGATGCGCCCTCGAGTCTGCTCATTTCTTACCAACTCACCCCTCTGCTCTTCCTCTCCCCGCACCTGCCCTCCTCCCTTCATCTCCTCCTCCCAAATCTCTTCTTTCTCCTCCCCTCTCCCTCTTTTTCCTCTGCCATCTCCCCCTCCTCTTCCTCCATCTTCTTCCTTCCCCTTCCCCTTCCTTCTTCCCCCTCTTCCCTTTTTCCTTGTCCTTCCCTCTTTCCTTTTCTTTCTCCTCTTCATCCCCTCCTCTTTTTTCTCCCCAGCCCCCCCCCCGGAATGTGTCTCCTAGCCTAGCTTCAGTGACAGACCTTGTCTGAGGGGAACAGTAAGTACAATGACAGGGCAGGAGACGTTGGCCTCTGTATACTCATACACAGCTGTGTACACTCCACGCGTGTGCATATACTACATACACACACACAGAAAATCCGAGGCAGGGTATGGTACATGTCCTTAATCCCAGGACTTGGGAGGCAGAGGCAGACAGAAATCTCTTGGAATTTGAAGCCAGCCTGGTCTGCATAGAAAGTCCTAGCCAAGGCTTCGTAGTGAGATTCTGTTTCAAAAACAAAACAAAACAAAACAAATATAAGTATAAGTAAATAATACAATTCAAAGAATGGGCAATAAGGTGTTCACACTCTCAAAATAGTACCCATTTGTCAGGATCAATAGTGCAGGCTACCCCTCAGAGTAGTTGTAGAGACTACCCCAGAGATTTCTGTCTGCAGAAACCAAGTACTCCCACCGTGATGTCGGCTCCCTGTAACACCTCTGGACCCCTTTCTCTGCGCGTCTGCCCTGCCATTTGCCTCTGATGGTGGTTTCCCCCCAGGGGTGTCCACCTCCTTTCCTGGTCTCTATTCAGCCCACCCCTGTGAGTTGTACACACACACATACATCTTCCTGTTTCTCTTCCCCTCTCCCTTGTGGTCTTCTCCCCGTCTTAGACATCTGTTCTTCTCCAGCCTTGTGACTGTCTGGGTTGACATCCCTTACCTCCATCTTTGAGTCTTGGCCCTGTGGCCCTGCAGGAGTCCTGGGGAAGGAAGGGCTGCAGGGAAGATTCTAGAGGGTTCTGGCACCATCCTCTGCCTTTTCTCCCAACAGTACAGTACCCATTGACACTGCAGTGCGCCAACATCAGCATTCTGGACAACAGGCTCTGTCGCTGGGCATATCCAGGGCACATCTCTGAGAAGATGCTGTGTGCTGGCTTGTGGGAGGGCGGACGAGGCTCCTGCCAGGTGAGCAACCCCTTCAGGGAGATGGAGGTCTTTTTCTAGACCTTAGGGCAGGAGACGCAGGAAGCACAGACTCCAGGACCTAAGGATCCCAGGTTGAGTTCTAGGGGATTCTGGGAGTCAAGGGTGTTATGTGATGGGATGAGCGTGAGGTCTGTAAGCTTTTATTCCTGGGTCTGAGGGAGGAGAGACTGCAAACCAGGCCTCTGGGGTGTTGAACGGCAGGAAGCAGAAGGCTTTCTCAGAAGGAAGCTTCGGTTCTCATGAACAGACCCAACTAACTGCTCTGATCTTCACCATTCCCAGGGTGACTCTGGGGGACCCCTGGTGTGCAATGGAACCCTGGCGGGTATAGTCTCTGGGGGATCCGAGCCTTGTTCCAGACCCCGGAGACCGGCTGTCTACACCAGCGTATGCCACTACCGGGACTGGGTCCAAAAAACCATGGAAGAAAACTGAGTCCATGCTAAGGACAGACCGGAGAGAACGAGGGATGCAGGACTGGAAGATACTGGAGGACTCCACAGCTTCAGTTTATCACCCTAGACCTCCAGCCTCTGTGGCACAGTCCCCCACAATGAAACTCCGCCCCCTCCACTCCACTCCTTAGGCTCCGCCTCAGGACTCTACCCTCTTAGGTCATCTGCCCTCTGGGGCTCTGCTCACAGGCAAATCTATTATAATAAGATCACGCCCCGTCAAAGCCCAACAGAGACTCTCCTCCATTGCTCTTGACCCAGGCTACATGACTTTAATCACCTCTCTCTGGAGTAGCCCAACCCTCAAGATCACCACCAAGAAATGTCTTTTACTAAAGAGCTGCATCCCTCCAAATTTTACCGCTTGGGATGTCTTCTCTGGACTCCACCCCGCTTGGCTCCACCTCTGGTGATGTCAGGCGTACGTTAACTCCGGGTACATGGACTTCACAACGGATTGGGTTTCTGCCCAGGCTGTGTTGTAGGTTTGATGAGGGGATGATGGGAGTATTGATCTCCCCAGAGCCACTGAAAGAATCAGAATAAACCAAAGGAGCCATGACTTCCTATCTTCTGTGATGTGGGCTGAAGGGTGCTCATAGGTGGGAAGGAAAGGGCAAGCAAGGGAACCGACACCATCCGAACCTTTATACTGACCCTAACAGCAAGTCTATTGCAGCACCTTGGGACTTCAGCCAGGGCTGGTCCCGCCGCCCCAGGGGGAAGGGGAAACCAGGTCACAGCGCCGCCCGAACCTGCCTACCCACATGCCCCGGGCCGGCTGCTGATCCACCCTCAAAGTCCCCAACCGGAACACACGCCTTCCCCACCTTCCACAAAACCTTGCTCCCTCTACCCTGGAGAAGACCCCAGTCCTCCTCCTTCAGATTCAGCCTCCGCTCTAAGATTCGGGGGTCCATACCTTAGCCCTCCTTCCTCAGACCCAGAGGTTCAGACCAGCTATTCAAAGCCCAGATCACTTCTCTCTGACTCAGGCAGGGATTTAGGCTCCACCTTCCTCCCTGAATCCAGGCTCCGATCCTCCTCTCTCAGACCCAGAAATCCAAACACCACCCCTCTTCCCTTCGACCCAAAGGTGCAGACCCAGCCCTCCTCCCTCAGACCCAGAGGTCCAGACCCATCCCTATTCCCTCAAACCAGATTCCAGCTGCCGCCCTCTCTCTGACCCAGCTCTTTCCGTTCTAGCCCGGGGGTCGGGGCATAGCCCCTCCAGACCTCACCTGGGCTTCCAAGACTCCGGCCCCTCTTCCTAAAGTCATTCCAGCCCCCGCCCCTCCTCTCGCGCTGGCCGGCTCAGCCGCAACGCCGCCAGGTGCGGGCAGGAGGCGGAGCCATGGGCAGGGCTTCCTAGTTAAAAGGCTGCAAAATCGTACACCCAACACACCGAAGGAAGTCCGGGGGCCTCTTCCACCGAGTCCGAGTGACCACGCCCCCTGCATTCTGGAAGGTGAGGCGCCGAGATCCCCAGACAAGGATCTCAGGCGCAGAGATCTCCCCCTCCCCTGGGCCCAGGACCCCCCCAAGCCTCACATCCTTTCGCTCAGGATCTTCAAGCGGGCCTCCCAGCTCCCTCCTCCCCAGGAGGTTGGAGCCTCAGATCTTTCTCCTCCATCCCACGAGTGGGCCCGAGCTCCTTCCTTCAGAGTGTCGGGAACCCTGCCAGCAAGCTGTCCCCCACACAGAAATTCCGGGTCAGACCCCCAACTCCATCCTCCGGAAACACCTCCTTCCCCTAGTTCCCAAAACAAGGTCTCAGACTCCTCCCTCGGACGTCCTCCCAGCGCCACCCTCCTCCTCAGAGGCCACCATGGGACGCCCCCCACCCTGTACCATCCAGAAGTGGATCCTTCTGTTTCTGCTGATGGGAACGTGGGCAGGTGAGGTGGATAGGTGCTCCCACCCAGGGTGGGGTTACTGGACTCTGAGTGAGCTCCTGCTGACCTGAGAGTGCATGTGGTAGTGTTGGGAACTGAGGAGCTTTCTTGGAAGTGGGTAGAGGCAGCAACATAACGGTGGGGGTAGTGGGTTGAGTTTTCCCTGGGTGCATGGCTGCGAAAGGTACTCTTGTTGCCTGCCAGACAAGGGACGGGATTTGAATGTGGGGACATACAAAGACCCATCTAGATCTGTGGGGGAGGCAGGTATCAATGAGTTTACATGTGTGGCCACGTGGCCGTGTTCCAATGGATGCCAGGACCTTACCTGTTGAATTCTTAAGAGATGACAAGCAGAGGAACTGGCCTGTGTGTCCATTTGAACCCACAGTGGCTTTCCTGGCCCTGGCTCTGCCCCAGAGGGTGGCGACCCACCCTTCTCCCTCCTGACACAGGACTCACCAGAGCTCAGGGGTCCAAGGTCCTGGAGGGCCAGGAGTGTGAGCCCCACTCCCAGCCTTGGCAGACAGCCTTGTTCCAGGGCCCGCGACTGGTCTGCGGGGGTGTCCTGGTAGGAGACAAGTGGGTCCTCACTGCAGCCCACTGCAAAAAACAGTGAGTGGAGGGCTGGGAACAGATGGGTGGGACTGGAGGGAAGGGGGTGAGGGCTCTGATTAAGGAGGAGGAAGGAGGCTAGGGAGGACATCTGAGTTAGACAGGCTAGGACCTGAACTCCGGGGCTCGGTGGAAGACGATTGGGTTCTGAAGGAGAGGGGCTGGAGGAAATGCCTATATACCAACTCCAGCCTGGGTTCCAACCTCCACCCCCAACCCTTCTGTGCAGGAAATACTCAGTGCGTCTGGGCGATCACAGCCTGCAGAGTAGAGATAAGCCGGAACAGGAGATCCAAGTGGTTCAGTCTATCCAGCATCCTTGTTACAACAATAGCAACCCTGAGGATCACAGTCACGACGTCATGCTCATCCGATTGCGCCATCCAGCAAACCTCGGGGACAAAGTGAAGTCCATCGAACTGACCGATGAGTGTCCCAAAGTTGGCCAGAAGTGTACCATATCCGGCTGGGGCACTGTCACCAGTCCCCGAGGTAATGAGATGGGCCCCTGACTGAGACACTGATAGAAGGCAGCCAGCCCAGTGGACCCCAAGCCATTGCAGATCTCATCTCCCAACACGCCCTCACCCATGCACACACACCCTAAGGGTGGATAGGGAAAGAGGAAAGTGACCCCGATGTCAAGTTGTACGGAAAAAGGGAGAAAATGCCGGGGTTTGAGGGCAGGACTGTAAGTAAATTGTAGGCTGAGCAAGGGTGAGGACCTGATTTCAGAAACCAGGCAAGTGCAGCAGCATGCACTAGGGTCTCCAGTCCTGGGAGGTGGAGGTAGGTGGATCCCAGGGCCCATTAGCCAAACAGTATAGCTTAAAGGGTAAGATCCAGGCTCAATACGTATATGTGGTGAAGCATAGGCACTGTTTGGTTTTGAAGATTGCATGTATTTATTGTTTGTTTGTATATGATCATGTACACGTATGTGTGCCCCAGCACACATGCAAAGGTCAGAGGGAAATCTGTAGGGATCAGCTGTTTCCTTCCACGGCACAGGTCTGAGGAATGGAACTCAGGTGGTGAGGCTTAGCAGCAAGCACCTTCACCTGCTGAGCCACCTTCCCAGCATTGGGGAGCTAGACAGACAGACAGACAGACAGGTGGGTCCCTGGGACTCTCTGGTCAGACAGTCTGGCTGATTTGGTGGGCTCAAAGCACAAGGGAAATCCACCTTGAGGATCAACACCATTGGTTAACTGCTGAACACACACACGCACTCACGCACACACGCACGTTCACCTGGGCCCACATTAGAAACCTTGAATACTAGATAATGGGAAGGAGATTAAAAAGGTTATTAGTGGTAAGTAGAACTTAAAGAAAGGAAAAGAAAAAAAGAAAAAAACCTTTCCTTCGTGTTGTACACTCTTTCATTGCGTATAACTTTCCTAGTAGACTCAGGCAAAGCCCTAGCCTGACCCTGACCTTCTTTACTGTCCCTCAGGGTCCAGACCCTTCATCATCACACAGCCTCCATGATCCAAGGGAGTCCAAACTCTCTTCTTACTCATGAGCCAAACATCAGTCTCTCTGGGATGTCCCTCAGCTTATAACTTCACAGTGGGACTCAGCTCGGGGAGACAATGGGGCCCTCCAGGATTGGCCATGCCAGTAATCAGGTCCCGACATGTCTGACTTCTACCAAGGCCGTGTGGCTTGGAAATGTATGCTGAGGAATTGGGTGGATCTTTCTTTTCCATCAGCCCTGGGGAGCCACTTTCCATCCCCTGCCTCATTCCCTCCAGTATGTTTAGGAGTCAGCATCCAATTGGCAGTGCACTCCATGAATCTTCTTTAGTTTTTATTGCATTTTATTTATTGCGTGTATGCAATGTGTGTGTTCCACAATGTACAGGTGAAAGTACGGGACCTGTGCGAGTTCTCTCCTTTCTACCACGATGTCCCAAGGATCAAAGCCAGGCCATTGGGCTTGAGGCTTGACTCTCTGCGCTATCTTTCCCAGACTCATCTGTGCTCTGCAGCACCTGCAGAGGCCAGAGAAGTCCTGGGCTGGTGGTATAGTTTAAAATCACCAATTAGGTGCTGGGAACAGAACCTGGGTGCTCCTAGCTGTTGAGCACCTCTCTTCAGCCCCAATCTGTTCTGTTTTATTTTGAGATAGGCTTTCTGTGTTATGCAGCTCTGGCTGTCCTGGAATTATGTAGACCAGGCTGGCCCCAAAATTCAGAGAGGCACCTGCCTCGGCCTCCCAAGTTTGGGTATTAAAAGTGTCCATCACTACTCCTAGGTCCATCTGCTCTTGGTGCTTGGAAGTTCCCTGAGACCCTGGAAATGTTTGATAAACGTTCCTGCATGCATGCATGCATGAATGAATGAATGGCAAAATGAATGAATGCATCCTGACACCTTCAAAGCACTTTTGTGAGTGTTATGTGAGATTGTAAGCAGACAGATTCTGGATCTTTTCCTTGTCTTCTTCTTAAAAGGGATTAGTAGCAAAGTTAATTGTAATTTCAGTCATTAATTTTTTTTGTCAGTATTAGAAATTGACCAGAGGGCCTTGCAACTTGTTAGGCAGAGCTCTTTCACTGAGTCACGCCCCCCTGCCCCTCATTCGGGAATTCTAGGCAGGGGCTCTACACATCCACAGTCAGTCATTACCATGTATTAAACAGCCAGAATGTCTAAGATACTGAGGTCAACACCTGCACAACCATAATGTCATGCTCAGACTAGAAGTCTCTTAAGGAGCTCATCCTAGCTGGGAGATAGACAACAGGACAAACACGTGTAACAAAGTATCAGAGGCTAGTGCTATGGTGGACAGTAGTAAAGGGGGAACAGATGGAAAATTCTGTGAGGAGAACAGAGCTATCAGCCTGTACTCAGGTGGCAGAGGCTGAGCGTCTCAAGACCAGTGTCTGTCTAAGCAGTTTAATGAGGGCCATAACATAAAAAAACAAAATAAAAAGTGTGATGTGGCCTGCACACTTGGATGCTAGAGGCCAGAGGATCAGGAGTTCAAGGTCACTCAGCCACACAGAGAGTTGGCCGCATGAGACTGCCCTCAAAAGAAACAAAATTAAGGAAAAGGGATTGGGAATGTAGCTCAATGATACAGTGCCCGCCTAGCATGCACAAGAGCTCGAATTCAGCTTGCACGCTCTCTCCCTCTCCCCCTCCCTCTCCCTCTCTCTCTCCCTCTCCCTCTCTCTCCTTCTCTCTCCCTCTCTGTCCCTCACCCTCTCTCTTTCCTCTCCCTCCTTCCCCCATCTCCGTCCTCCCTTGCTCTCTCTTTCTCCCTCTCCCTCTCTCTGTCCGCTTCCCCATACACACACTCAGAGGCGTGGACAGATAGGTGTGCTTAATTAGAATGGTCAGGAAGGGCTTCTAGGAGGAGATGGTGTTTGCGAAAAGTAGACTAGAGATGAAATTAAGGACCTAGTGGCCTAGTGACAAGAAAGTGAAGGAGAGAACAGGATGTGTCAGAGAGAGGTATTCCAAAATTCCCCTCCATCATCTGCCCCTAGATTTAAATATGACTAAAAGCAAGAAATGAAAGGTAAGACTTGCGGGCTGCTGCCTAGACCTGCAAAGGCACACTGGGCACTGGTGTGTGAAGTCATGGGCCCTGTGGGAGTCCAGTGCAGATGGTATTGGAGGGAAAGGGCTCCTCTTTCTTCCCTTCCTCCTCAGAGAACTTTCCAGACACCCTCAACTGTGCAAAAGTGGAAATCTTTTCCCAGAACAAGTGTGAGAAGGCCTACCCGGGGAAGGTCACCGAGGGCATGGTCTGTGCTGGCAGCAGCAATGGGGCTGACACTTGCCAGGTAAGTAACCTCTGAAGTCCCCTCACAGTCTGGTGTGGGTGGGGGCGAACCCAAAGAATTAGTACACAGAGAAGCTGTGTCATCCTGGCAGAGTTCAGAGCAAGCTCGCTACTCCCAGGAGGTCACATAGCAGGCTTGGGGTTAGAGGGCTCAGGAGCCTTGTGGTCACATCCTTTGTCTTTGTCTACACAATCAACTGTGGAGATGTGGCAGAGGGTATGGAGGACAGTCTGAAACTGAGGCTTGGGCAATGTTTTGCTCCCAGCGGGAGTCTCTAAACTGGTTTGGTTTCTGTCACTGGGTTCCCAAGGGAGGCTTCCTTCTGTCATTTTGTCCTTGGGGATCCACATTGCCTTCCCAGATGACCAGGGGGTGGAATTAGAGACTTCCAACTCCACCCCTAGCCCTGCTCAACCTCCCATCCTGCCCTTATGGGATTTGTTTTCCACAGAGGTCATATTCTCTTTCCTGTCAACTGCACTGCATCTGTGTCCTTAGGACTTTTCCTGGAAGTTCCACCCGCATCACTAATGATTAGTATCAAAGGCAGACCTTTCATTGGCCAACAGTGATGCTGCTCCCATCACTGACAGTCCAGCCTGCCTTAGAGACCGTGCTCTGTCCACAAATACCCCTTCCCCCGCCGATGCCCCTTAGGGACTGGTTCTGTGCATGCGCCGGGTACCCTTCCTTCAGTCTCTTTCTTTTGTGCTCCCCACCCGGAGCTTTTAGCTAAGTCCCCCTTTTGAAAGCCTGGTGTCTCCTCGATGAATTAGACTTTGGACACTTGACTCTCTTTCCTCATTGGTCAGGGATTTGGCCATCATCCTTAGAACTCTTCTGTGCATTGGAAACTCCGCCTCCTCCCTCTGGACCACCACATCTCATTCCATTTACTATATAAGGGACCAATCGCTCCTCCATGCTGAAGAACTGGTTATAGGGCCAAGAGATGTGGCTCTTGGGAAAGTGTTTGCCTACCACACACAAAACCCCGGGCTCCACCCCCAACACTGCAGAAACTGGGTGTGGTGGTATATGCCTGCCATCCCAGTATTTTGGGAGGCAGAAGCAGGAGAATCAGAAATTCAGGGTCAGGCTTAGCTACCTAGGGGCTTTAAGGCACCTGGACTACAGGAGACCATATCTATCTCAAGACTAAATGCTGAGGGGTTCAGTGCAGGGTGGGTCAGCACATAAAGGCACTTGATACTCAAGCCCAACAGCCTGACTTTGGTCCCCAGAACCCAGCTGACCTGTGATCTCCATGCACCACATTAGATAATAAATATAATCCAAAATTTTAAGTTCTGGGTGCGGAAGGGAAAAAAAATGTGGGCCTTCTAAGGCAATTACAACTCTGCCCCTGTCCAGGGTGACTCAGGAGGTCCTCTGGTATGCAATGGCGTGCTCCAAGGAATCACATCCTGGGGCTCAGACCCCTGTGGGAAACCTGAAAAACCCGGTGTCTACACCAACATCTGCCGTTACAGTGACTGGATCCACAAGACCATGAACAACAGGGACTGATCCTGGTGATGGAGGTGGCAATAAACATTACCTTTGGCTGACTCCTTGACTGTATTTTGGCCTGTGTTTGGGGAGGAGGGGGAGAAGAAAGGGTTACACTTTGCTAACAGACTTAGTGGGGAGGTACTAGGTTCCTGTGGCTTCTGTCACATTGCCTGGGTGACTACAAGGACTTGGGGGACTTGGGCATGGTAGCACGTGTCTGTCATCCAAGCACTCAGGAGGTCGAGGCTGGAGGATAGAGAGTTTAAGGCCAGCCTCAGTAACATAGTGAGTTCAGGGCCAGCCTGGGCTATATGAACCTTGTCTTTAAAAGGAGGAAGAAAAAGAGGAGGAGGGGGAGGAGACAACTTTGGTTAATGGAAGAGTTCCTTCAGAGGCTCAAACAGTTGTAAGAATTTTCAAATATGAAAGAAAAGGTGTTTTCCCACCTCCACACACACACACACACTCCCTTGTGAGACAGAGCTTTATTGTAGAGGACAGGCTGGCCTCAAAATCACGATGCTGATGCCTCAGCCTCCTGAGTGCTGAAATGGGAGAATACCAGCATACTTGGATTCTCCATTATGCTTTTCATGCTTCAGAACTTGGTGCTAGGGATTGATCTCCTGGCTTTTCCCATGCCAGGCAAGTGCTTTACCCCCAAACCATGTCTCTAGTTCCTCCCTGGGTGAGTCTAGGCAGAAGCTCTGACATTGAGTCACACCCCTAGCCCCTCACTGGGTAGGGCAGCCCTACTGCTGAGATACATCCAGTCCTTTTAATGTTTTTTTTTAAAGCCTTATCCTTGTGTGAATGATATGTGTGTGTGTCATACATCATACATGTGGTCAGGGGACCACTCCATGAAGTTGTTTCTCCCCACTCCCCACCCCTTTATTTGGTTTCTGGGACCCAATTCAGGAGGTCAGGCTTGTGTGACAAGCACTTTACCTGCTGAGCCATCTTGTCAACCCCACAGACCCTTATTAATATGTTCTCCTTCGAGACAGTTCACACTAGCTTATCCAGGCCTACTGGAACCTCGAACACACTCTGGAAGCACCACAGGCTTTGGACGTACAAGCCCTCTGCATCAGCCTCTTCACACCTGAGACTGTAGATCCTCATCACCAGCACTGGCTGTGCTTTTTCATTCATTCATTCATTCATTCATTCATTCATTCATTCATTTGTTGAGAAGGTCTCTCAAAGCCCAGGTTGGTCTCAATGTTGAGGTTGATACATAGCAAAGGATGGCCTTAACTCCTGATCTTTCTGCTTCCTCCTCCTAAGTGATGAGATGCGGCCATGCCTGACTATAAAGTTCAGGTTTGGTACGACATTTTAATATAATTTTAAAATATTTTTATCTTATGTGTATGGGTGTTTTGCCTGCATGCATGTGTATACATGTATCCCATGTGTACAGTGGCCATGGTGGCCAGAAGAGGGCGTTGGCTCCCTGGAACTGGAGTTATCTTGTGGGTACTGGGAACTGAACTTGGATCCTCTGAGGGAACAGTGCACTGCTCTTAGCACCTGAGCTGTCTCTCCAACCTCTCAATATAATATTTTTAATCTCTCTATGTTTATGTGACACATCTAGCCTCCTCAGACAGCGGCATAGATGTGTCACATAAACATAGAGAGATGTGCATAAATAAGAATAAATGTTTTAAAATTCTGGATATTATTTATTTTTAATTCCTGAGTTCTTGGCCAGATTTGTAATTCTAGGCACACACTTCCTCCTGTGGAGAAGGCCTTAAATTCAATCTAAAGCCATCAGTTACTTTCATAACATTTATGCCACTACTGTTGTACCCATAAGCAGTCAAAGAATACACTTAAGGTATATTAAAAATATTATATTGACACCAGATTCCTGGAGCTTAAGTTACACAGATGGTTGTGAACCACCACGCAGCTTCTGCGAACAGAACCTGTGTCCTCTGCAAAAGCAACAAATTCTCTCTCTTTCTCCACCCCCAAGTGTATGTGTATGTGTTTCTCTCTGTGTCTCTGTCTTTCTTTCTCTTTATCTATGAGTGTTTATCTGCATACAACACACACACACACACACACACACACACACACACACACACACACACACACACTACATATATGCCTGATGTCTAAGGATGCCGAAAGATGGTGTCATATCCTCTGGAACTGGAGTTAAAGATGGTTCTGGTGAAGTTGCCATGGAGGTGAGGGGGGTGAACTCAGGTCCTCTTGAAGAGCATTAAGTATTCTTAATGGCTGAGCTAGATCTCCAGCCCCGAGAATTCATGAATTTGGGGGGTGGGGTGTTTGTTTAAATAAAAGAGAACCATTGGTCCTTCTCATCTTTCCTCCTTCAGCCACATCACAGATTACTGAATGGCTAATGATTTCACTGCACGTTGTTCAAGAGACAAATCCTAACCAGCCAGTGGCTTTGGTGTCATGTGGCTGGTTGGGTTGTTTGAGGACCATTCTCCTACACAGGGTGTGTGGGTGTGTCAAGAGCCTTGCACAATTAGATTCCAGCTCTGGTCCAGCTTTAAGGAGACCACTGACTCAGGATTCATCACTACTGTTGATTTGTCTTGAGTCCTTATCCATCCCAGTGTGAGGGAGGGATTGGAGGACTCTGATGCATGTTTTCACCAGATATAGGAGAGGAGGGAGCATCTCCCTCAAAGGAGTGGATGTTGTTCTAAAAATGAAAGAATGCAAACAAGAAGCAGGCGGTCAGGAGAACGCAACCCATGCGTTGAGTCTGGGGTTGCTGGAGTCGATGTGTGCAGGCTGTGTTCAGGCGGTGCATGGGTGAAGGGTGACCACCTTTCAACTCTCAAATGTGATTGTGGGCTGTCAGAGGGGTCACCAACAAAGGTTCAGGACAGAGATCTGAGGACAAGGAAAAGCACTGGGTGAGACTTATTGACAAGTGCTGAGATTAACTCCAAAGGACACAGGATGCATATCTTTTTGTTTTGCTTTGATTTTCCAGACAGGGTTTCTTTGTGTAACCCAGGAATGTCCAGGTTCATCCTGCCTCTGCCTCCCAAGTACTGGGATTAAAGGTATGTGTGAGGATGTATATCTTAATAGGACCAAGACTCAGTCATTCAGTCAGTCAGTCTCTCTCATCTCTCTCTCTCTCTCTCTCTCTCTCTCTCTTTGTGTGTGTGTGTGTGTGTGTGTGTGTGTGTATCTGTGTCTGTGGGGGGGAGTCAGAGGTCAACATCAGCTATTTTTCCACAGGCACAGCCCACCTTCAGGATCTAGCTCACTGGCCTGGAGCTTACTAAGTAGGCTAGACTGGCCAACAAGCAAATCCCAGGAATCCATCTGTCTCTTCACCCCAGCACTGGGTTATGGTCTTCATGCTCCCAACTGAGCTATCTTCTCCCAGAGCTCCCAGACTCTGACATTTGTGAGTAGCTATTTGTTTTCTTATCTGTGAAATGAGGGTGACAATCTTCTATCCACTCCTTATGAGAATAAACAAGTGGGGCTGGAGATACAACTCAGTGTTAAGAGCAATTGCTACTCTTCCAGGAGACCAGGGTTCAGTATCCGGCAACCAGGTGAGGTGTCTCACAACCACCTATTGTGGTGGTATCTTGCTTGTACAAATGAAGCCTGTCTGAAGGTTGGAGAATGGAGCTTGCCACTAACTAACCATAGAGGTGCACCTACCCACACAAGAGATATGCACACTGCACTTAAATAAAACCTTTTAAAAATCAGCTACGAGGTCTAAGAAGCATCTGACGCATGTTCTGTAGGTTGCCAAGAAATGGAACCCTCTTCCTTCGCTGCACGTTGGGCTCAGCATCCTTTCTGTGCCCGTGTTTCTCATGCATACCTTTGGGTAATCCTCCCAGTGTGCTTCATTCTCTCCCACTTTAGAGAAGGGTGCTGTGAGACTCAGCAGAGGGAAGTCCCTCACCCGAAGTCACAGGGTGAACAACTCTGCGTTTGATTGACCTGTGAGGCTGCGTTCTTTTCTGTCACACCCTGAGGCAGAATGGCTCAGCAGCACTGAGTGTGAAGGAGGTGGCTCTGTGGGTGCCAGATGTTTTGCAAAATATTGTTTATTTAAGTACCTCCAGCTGATGTGGGCTGGCAGTTAAAGAAAACAGTGAACACCACACACACGTTTCACCTGCTCCCGGGGAGCAGTGTTTAGTCATAAAACCAGCTTTACTAAGGAGGACTAATAGAATGACAGACACGCACAGTAACATCTAGGGATTTCAAAATAGACAACAAATCTTTGGGAAACCAGAGCTTTTTTCCCTCACTCCCCTGACCCTTTTGCAACAGTGTTTCATGTAGCTCAGCTAGACTCAAACTACCCATGTAGTCAAGACTGACCTGAACTTTTCAATCTTCCAGCTTCCAACCTCCCGGCATTGCTGGAATTACAGTCACAGAACCACCACACCTGGTTTAGGCAGTGTTTCCAGGGATCTCCTGATGATTGAGTTGGGAGTCCAAGTTGGGAAGGCTAACACGCCCTGAGGCCCAAGTCTCATGATGGGGATCTGCATTCTGCGTTCTGACTTGGGACTGGATAGGAGTGTCTTGAGCTTTAGTAACTTTGTTTGAATATAGTTACCATGGTGTTTGTATCAGGACATCATGACAGAAATTATTTTACAGTTAGTTTGAAAGGAGGGGGAACAGAGGTTGTGGCAGGAGGATCAGACATTCGGCTACAGAGTAAGTTCAAGTTCAGACCGGAGGATCAGAGTCAGAGATGATCTCAAAATGTAGTTCAACATTAGAGCTCCTGCCTAGAATCCTCCAGTAAGGGTCTTGGTGTGGCCCAGTGGTAGAGCTCCTGCCTAGACTCCTCCTTCAGTGAGTGGCTAGGGGCATAGCTCTTAGCTTCCTGCTCCAACTGGATGCCAACTCTCTGGAATGACAAGCCAAATTAAACTCTTCTGTAAGTCACCGTGATTATGGTGTTTTGTCACAAGAATAAAAAAGTAACTAATAAAACCTTATATATTTTGCTACTTCACATCTGTCTGTCTGCATGCACGTGGGTATGTAGGTGCATGTACCCACACACATGCTGAGGAGGCTAGAGCATGGTGTCTCTCAATGAACCAGAAGCTTGCCATTCACCTAGGCTGGCTGACCAGCAATCTCTTGTGAGCTGCCTGTCCCCACCTAACCCCAATAATAGGGTTGTAGACATACACAACATGTTTGGCTTTTTATGTGGGTACTGGGGATTTGAACCCAGGTTCTCAAGCTTGCAGAGCAAGTACCCTATCCCACTGAGTCATCTCCCCAGCCTTATCATAGATTATTTGATTACTGTTTTTACACAAGTCAGTCAACACCTTGAAACAAAAGGGACTCTATCCAAGTGTGTGCATCTCTGTGTCCTTGACATGCTGGTATACCGTTGATGCTCACTCAATACAGATCTTTCAAGTGTTTGAGGAACTGGGTCTGAAACAGGGTATGGGATGAGAACTGTGAAGAAAGCAAGAACCAAAAGAAGACTTGTTTTTATTGACTCCTGTAGGTTGATGTAAGGCTTCAGAGACGTGGCATCTCAAACTTGCAAGACAGATAAGAAGGATACAAGCGCAAGGCAAGCCTGGGCTGTAGAGTGACATGTAGAAAGGGGGAAGAGGAGGGGAAAGAGTCTAGAACTGGGTTGGGCTTCATGCTGAGAGCTGTATTTGAGTTGGCCTTATAATCAACACCAAGGTATCAGGAAGGATGAACGTGTCTGTCAGGACTGAATAGTTATAACCAAGGATGCTTGGAAGGGTCAGGAGAGGAAGACATGCCACTGCTGATGTGTTCACTGACTCAGAAATCACTGGAAACCCAGAAGATCACCTCAGGTCATCCATAGTATGTTGGCCTGGCCCATTCCCACTTCTCTTCATGGTCCTAAGAAGGTGGCTACAGTCTCAGAATTGGCACCTCAGAAGAGGAACACCAGCAGGCAGGATGAAAGCCGAGCCACCCTTTTTATTTTTGGGAGACAGTATCTGGTATGGTCCTTTGAGCCCACTTGCATCGGGACAACCCTGAACTCCCGATGTTCTTGCTGCCACCTTGTGAGCGCTGAAATGACAGCCATGTGGTAGCACATCTGCCTTCCAGTGTTTCTTCATGAACATAAGAATCCCCCAGTGAGGGGCTGGGGCGTGGCTCACTGGTAGAGCCCCTGCCTAGAATCCCAGTGAGGGGCTGGGGCGTGGCTCACTGGTAGAGCCCCTGCATACTGTGTGCAAGGTTCTGGGTTTAATTCCCAATACTCTCCCCGCCAAAGGAAGGAAGAGTGGAATCTTATGGAAAAAAGAATCGAGATAAGGAAAACTGGTGGGGGTGGGGTGGAGATTCTATTAGATAATGTTTGATATTTACATTTTTGTTGTAAAAACAGTATGTGGAGAGACCTATGTATAATATGATTGAAGATCAGTATGACCACTGGCAAGATGGCTCAGTGAGTAAAGGTGCTTGCACCAGACCCCACACGGAAGGAGACAAATCCCCAATGTTGTCCTCTGATCTCCACATGCAAAGCATGGCATGCATGCACACAGACAATACTTTATCAACGTAATTTAATTTTACATCATGAATTTTACATTATTTTTACATTATTAATATAATTTAATTTTTAAAAATGAACAAGAAGACAGAGACTAGACCGACATTCATAAGCTCCCTGCTGGTGTTGGGTGTGGAATCGTCTTTTAAATTTTATGTCTGTTTGGGCTGGCAATGAGTTCAGCCTCCAAGACAGGACTAGATCCAGCAGGCACGAGTTCCAACACATTGGTCACAATCACGGCATGGGGGCTGGGCCACCCTGAGCTTCTCTCAGAGTTAGAAAATGATTTTTGTAAGGCTCCAAACTGAATACACCTCTGCCCTCTGCACCTCTGGAATTCTGCTCCAGGGAACGACCCCTTGACACGGTGGAGTCAGAATGTGCAGGGGTGGCTGTTCGGGAGCTGCCCTGCCAGCCCGGCCACAGTACAGAGAGGGTGGAGGGAGAGATCTGTGGTATCTACTGCCAGGGCTGCCTCAGGGATTTCAGATAACCCTAAACTCAAAGCAGAGGGAAGACACCCAGAGACAGCTCCACCTGTGCCCCAGGGTGCTGGAGGCGGTGCGGGGGCAGGGGTGTTATAAAAGGACCAGCCCTACAGAGGGCTGAAGGCACTGGGCTCCTGACCCAGGACAGAGCCTCACCAAGTGAGACTCTCCCAGGTGAGAGGGATTTTCAGTAGGGGTGTGCACAAACCGCCCTGTGTACTGGGATTCCAGGGACTGAGACAGGAAGCAAAGGGTGGATCCAGGCTCAGGATGGCAGGAGAGGATCTCTGGTGCTGTCTGGGGAGAGGGGCTGAGCAGGAGGGCTTGAGTCTGAATCCCAGGGTCTGAGGGAGGAGGACTTTCAGATCTGGGGAGGAGAAGGCTGGGGTCTGGACCCCTGGATCTAAGGGAGGAGGACTGGAATTGGACTCCAGGGTCTGAGAGAGGAGGTCTGGGGTCTGAGGGAGGAGAGCTCTGTCTAGATTTGTGAATCCCAGAGAGAGAGAATGAATAGTCTGGGAACTGGACTCCTGGCTTCAAGGGAGGAGGGGTAGGGCTGTATCTTAGTGTCTCAGTCTCAACATTTTTCGCTCTGGCAACATTTAGCTTCCTCATCTGGCTGCCCCTGAGCTACAGACACCATGGTGGGAATCTGGCTCCCTCCCCTGCTAACTGTGTTGCTGTCCTTAGCCCTGGAAACTGCTGGACAAGGAGGTGAGAGCTTGCCCTGTGTCCCAAACACCCTGAGTCTGAATCCTCTCACCCAAATAGCTCTCCCCACAGGAGGGCTGAACCAGTGATTGTGACCCTGGGGTCTTCTCCTCTTGTCCCGATCAGACAGACTCCATGGGGCCCCTACAGGACAAGATCATGGGGGTTCTTTGAGTGGTCCCATGGCTCTCCCTAGCCCACTCTCCCCTCCTCTGAACCATCCCCCCATCCAATCCTCTGCCTTCATTCCTGAGCCTTATAGAATCATCTCTGACTCTATGAATCCCTGCTGTCTGCCTGAGTGTCTCCCCCTGATGCTGGATGCCCATTTGTGTCTGTCATATCCAGATCACGGTGACAGAAATGGAGACAGAATTATAGACGGCTACCCATGTGAAAAGGGTTCCCACCCATGGCAGGTGGCCTTGCTCAGAGGCGATCAGCTCCACTGCGGAGGAGTGCTGGTCAGCGAATGTTGGGTGCTTACAGCAGCCCACTGCAAAATGCGGTAGGCACTGCAAGGCCTGGCAGGGTTGTGCATCCTCTCTGGGTCTCTCTCTCCTCCCCTCCCCCTCTGAGTGTCACCTTCTTCTCCCAGTGAGTACACTGTGCATCTGGGCAGTGATAAGATCGGGGATCAGAAGGCCCAGAAGATCAAGGCCAGGAAGTCATTCCGACACCCTGGCTACTCCACAAAGACCCACGTCAATGACATCATGCTTGTGAAGATGGATAAGCCTGTCAAGATGTCATCCAGCGTGCAGAAAGTCCAACTTCCATCCCACTGTGAACCCCCAGGGACATCCTGCACTGTCTCTGGATGGGGTACCACAACCAGCCCAGATGGTGAGTCTGCCTGAGGGCGGGAATCGCCCAGCCTCCTCCCTCAATCCCAGGAATCCAGGTCCCAGCCCTCTTCCCTTGGATCCCTGATCCTGACCCAGCCCCTCCGCTCCCCACCCTACTCAGTCCCTTACACAGTGCTAGCTGATGCCCTCCTCCCCACAGTGACCTTTCCCTCGGACCTTATGTGCTCGGATGTGAAGCTCATCTCCTCCAAGGAGTGCAAGAAGGTGTACAAGGACCTGCTGGGGAAAACCATGCTGTGTGCTGGCATTCCTGACTCTAAGACCAACACCTGCAACGTGAGTCTTTTCTGCCCTGCCCCCAGCCCCTTTCTGTTCACATCAGCATAGAGCTTTGTCCCAGACTGTCCTGGCCGTGTCCCAGGTCCTACCTCCTTAGCTCTCTCACTCCATGCTGGTCAACAGCCACAGTTCATGCATGGAATGAACTAGACACAGGCCAGTAGTTTAGTGGAGCTGTGAGATACAGAGATGGAGATGTAGGAATGTGAGTGAGCCTCCCACGCCCTGCCCAAACTTTGCGGAAGCTGCAAAACTCGGTGCTTGATATTATTTTAGTTTTGCATTTTTGAGACAGTCTTCCTCTGTGGCCCAGGCTGGTCTGGAGCTCACTCTGTAGGCCAGGTTAGCCTGAAATGATGTAGCCAAAGCTAACCTAGAACTATGTAGCCAAGGCTGATCTCAAACTCAACACAATACCTGTGCCTCAGCCTCCCAAGGGCAGAACTTGCAGGGATGACTGGTATGCTGGGCTGAACATTCCTTGTCAAATTTCTTCTCCAAGGTTTATTTTAAATGTTTTATGTGTATGAATGTTTTGGATACATGTATGTAAGTATACTGCCTGTGTGCCTGGTGACCAAAGGGGCCAGAAGGAGGTGTCAGCCCCCTGGAACTTGAGTTACAGGGGGTTGTGAGCTACCGTGTGGGTGCTGGGTGCTGAACCTGCTGTCCTATAGAAGAGCAGACAACGCTCTTAACCACTGAATCATCTCTCCAGCCCTGCTTTGTTAAGTGTTATGCAGCCCTGTCTTGAACTCACTCTGTAGCTAAGGTAGGATTTGAACTCGTGACCTGGAGTGCTGCTGACTAGTCTCCACTTGACTTTTAACTCCTGTTTTGTGATGCCCACTGACATTTTCTGCCAGATCCAGACCTGGTCGTGGGGCAAGAATGGCGCTTTCCCACTCCTCAGGTCTCCTCTCGCATCACCAGCTTGTCTTTGGACATTTCCCACCTCTTTCTTTGTATTTCTAGCTTTGTCTTACTCCTTTCTCTTTTTGCTGGCTCTGTCTTGGACTGGCTTCTGTCGCTTGTCTTCCTTGCCTCTCTCCCCCTCCCCCTCCTCCTGCTCTCCCCTTCCCCCCCTCCTTTCTTCCTCCTCCTTCACTCCTGCTCCTCCTCCTCCTCTCTCCTCCTCTTCATCGACCCCCTCTCCTCCCCCAGCTCACAGGACAGATGTCATGTGGTGGGAGCACAGGCCTGTCCCTGCGAACCAGGGCACGCCGCTTCCCAGTGCAGGGCCAGCTTCCTGACAGCAGAGGGGATACCTACCCAGCCCCTAGAGATTCTCACCAGCCCTAATAAATAGACTTTATCAGTAAGGAAATTGTACTTGAATCCCAGGAAGTCCCACCCTTTCCTGCCAAGAGGCTCTAATGGAGCCCAGGGCATCACCGTGACAGTATGGATTCCCGCTCTCCCATTGGTTCCCAAAGGCAATGAGTCCTTGCTCCTTAGCCAGGGTGAACTTGATACAGTTTATCAGGACAAAGACTGAGCTAGAGGGTACCCGAGGGTGACCTAGAGGTCACAAAGCTTTCCTCTGAAGCTAAAAGTAACCACTCCTGTTCTCCATAGGGTGACTCAGGGGGGCCCTTGGTGTGCAACAACACCCTTCAAGGTCTGGTGTCCTGGGGAACCTACCCTTGTGGCCAGCCCAACGACCCAGGTGTCTACACTCAAGTCTGCAAGTACAGCCGGTGGTTGCAAGAGACCATGAAAACCAATTGCTAATGCGTCAGGAGCCAAGCTGGGAGCCTCCAAGGACATGCTTACTGAGTAAGGATGCCTGCCACAGCTCGGTAAAGTCCTGTCTGGCTTTACCTTTCCTCCAAAACACAGCAAAGCCTCAACACAAAAACAAGTTTATAAACCAATCAGAACCCCAGAGAACTGAAAGTAAATCAAGTCAAAAGACTAAGAAACCCCAAGGCGGTGGAAGATGCCGAAAGCTGAGCTGGGAATCCTTACCGCCCTTTTTTTGGAAAGTGGCTGGTAATTTCGAGACCTTCATCCACTGCCTTTGGCTCAGGCCCTCCAATTCTAGAGAGTTCTTGAAACAAAAGAAAATTGCGTTATTTATTGTTGGGGGCAAAGGAATGGAAATTGTTTTGATTATAGATTGGCTTCTCTCAGAATATTATGAACCCATGAAAAACAATACCTCAGCCTTAGGCAAGACTGACTGTTACTGTATGATGTTTAATGGCGTATGAAGTGTACCAACTGACATGAGCTGCATGTGTCAAATGAAACACACACACAAAAAAAAATCCAAGTGACGTTCATGTGTGTGCTCGTAGCCTGGAAAACAGTGGAGGGTAAACTGGAAGCGTCCATGGCGGAGGCATGAGATTCTGGAGGAAGAGTTGGACCGGCAAGATGGCTCGGTGGGGAAAGGCGCTTGCTGCCCACCTGACAGAGCTGGAGTTCCATCTCTGGGGCCTACAGTGTGCAAGGAAATAATGGACTCCTCCATGTGGTCCTCTGCCCTCCAGATGTGCTGTGGCACCTGTGTACCTGCTCACAAAACTAAATAAAGCATCTTTAATGTGTTTAATTGTTAAGGACATGTATCTGTTTCCAGCCTGGCCCTGGTGGTGGAATGCTTTTCTCTGTTTTTTTTTTTTTTTTTTTTTTTTTCCCTTACATGCAAAAGGGGAGCTAGAGATGGAGGGAGGGAGGTAAGAAAAAATGGAGAGTAAGTACATACATCACCAGGTGAAAAAATGAGAAGGGCCTGTATTTCCCTCAGGTGACAGAGAGGGGTGGGCGAGCCAAAGACTGGACACTCGGGTCCTCTGGGGGTCATCTAAGGCTGAGCATCCTGAAACTGAGGTCCCGAGGAAGATGGTGATGAGCAGGCTTCTCCCAAAAGGTTAGGGGGCTCTGGAAGGGAGGCGTGCTTTGTGAGTCAGAGCAGAGCCACACCTAGGCAGCTTGCCTTCCTTCTCTGGGCAGCGACACCTCCACACCTCCGAATCTGCTGACAAAGAGATGCAGTACAGCCAAGGGCCTGTCCTTCCTGTTTCTCTCCCAGAATTTCTTCTGGGTTCTTCCCAACACTCTTCCTTCAGTCTCCACTGACCGCTCTCAGCCAGCCAGAAATGCTGCAGCTACTACACTCTGCACAAGGTAGCACACAGCACAGACCCCAGCCTCCTCCCTCAGACCCAGCAATCCAGCCCCAGGCCTTCCTCTATCAGCTTAAATCCAGACCTGCATCTAGCTTAAGGAATACCAAGGGAATCTGGCCCTCCATCCCCATGGAGTTTCATTAGTTTTTTTTCCCCTCTCTTCAAACTACCCAAATCACCATCTAAACTTTAAAGGGTCTGGCACGGTGGTGCACATCTTTACCCTCAGCACTTGGGAGGCTGAAACAGAAAGATCTCTATGAATGTACGGTCATCCTGGTCTACACAGCCAGTCCCAGGCTAGTCAAAGCTACACAGCGAGGCCCTGTCTCAAAAAGGTCAAGAGAGGACGTTGGGGGCGGCTCAGTGGGTAAAGTGATGGGAATGCAAGCACAAAGATTTGAGTTTGGCCCCAATGCCAGCATAAAATGCAATCCATGGCTGTGTGCATTTGTAATTATATTGCTAAAGATCTGAGACAAAGGGTCTATGGGGGCCTCACTTGCCAGCCAGTCTATTTATCTCTAGACAGTGAGAGACAGCCAATGTCAACACACACACACACACACACCACTCAGAAATAAAATAAAACATAACTTAAAAATAACAAGTAACCCAGAGTCAAAATGGTCAGCCAGAACCACTGAGTCTGGCCACCCGGAGACTGACTCGGTTATAAAGACGTAAGTTCATACTCAGGTTGGATTGTTTGGAAAGGGTTTTGTTTTCTTTGACCAGACAGTAGACTTATAGTTAAAATCAGTAGCTTCTGGAACTTGGCTTCTTGCATTAAAAACCTGCTGTGTGGCGCCTACCATCCATTTCCTGTGTGTGTGTGTGTGTGTGTGTGTGTGTGTGTGTGTGTGTGTGCCTGTCTGTTTGTCTGTCTGTCTAGCTCTCTCCTCTTGCTTCTCTTCCCTGTTCTTTATTGTTAGGTAGAGAGACAGGGTTTAACAGCCTTGGAGGCCAACAAGGATGGACTTTTCCCTCATGACTGGCTTTGGACTCCATCTCTTGTTTAGCTGTTAACATTATAAAGAGAAATATCATCTTTGAACCCATTAAAATGTGGGTATCAGCAACATGTACCCTGACTGGTGTATTAGTGACATGATGTTTTATAGGAGTAATCAGACACTTTTTGATTGGATTTGAGGCCTGTCCTGCAGAAGGGAATTCATGCCTGCTACAGTAAGCATTGTCAATAGCCCATGACTTGGGAGGTCATAGGCCCTGGGTGGGGGTGGGGGTGGGAGGATCCTATTGTTGTTTAGCTTAAATGGCCATATTGTTATAGATTAGTGCTGTTCTCAACCAGAAAACCCTCTTTCTGCAGCCTACAGAATTAATGCAGAGACTCAGACCTGGTCCATGTGATTGAAGTGAGTGTGGAGTGTTCAGCCCTAAATGGGACAGCTATGTCAATAGCTCCAAGGCTCCGAGAACACTGAGGACGAATGCACAAGACAAGCGTAAGAGGATGGGACAGAGCGCGGTGAAACTCTGTCTTCTGGGAAGGGCTTCCTGGTGCCATTGCACTCATGAATGTGCAGCAAGCATGGCCACCTGTGTAAAAGGAGAGCAAAGACAAGACCCCCCAACATCCCAACAGACGGAACCCAATACCCCACACAAACAAAAGAAGGAAGAAGAGAAAAGAGAAGGCATGAAAGCAGAGAGCAGATAAAGTGGGGGATGTCCAGAGGGACTGGGGGCAGAATAAGGGGTGGGTATGCGTGTGTGGCATTATCAGAGAATAATACAAGATGCTCTTAAGCAGGAAACAAGCCTGACATGGGTCATGTCATCTTTGTAGATATTAAATGTCCAATGTTTGTGAGCAAGAAAGAAAAAGGAAGGAAGGAAGGAAGGAAGGAAGGAAGGAAGGAAGGAAGGAAAAGAAAAGGCGGAGACATCAGGTCTTTGTTGAAGTCCATTAAGAGAGAATGACTTCCTCCTGGTCAAAAGAATGGAATCTACCTGGTCTGGGTGGAGACATGACAATGATCTGCGTCAAAGATTAGAACATGACAGGCTACTATAGACTGCTATCTCCTCAAAGTTAATCCAGACGGACCTGTCAATCATCTGGTCAGGCGTCCACTTCACAGGAAATCTGATTCACCCGAAGGCACGCTAAGGTGAAGAGAGGAATAATTATCCCCTTAATGAGATCATGAATTTACCCTTCCCACAAACCCCTCCTCCACACACGAGTTCGTGCTGCCTGTGTGCTGTTCTGAGTGACTTTTCAATCCTCTTTCAGATACTGGCCAAAGTCCAGTCCCCGACACTCAGAGATTTCTCCATTTTTCTCTGAAGGCCCCCTACCCTTTCCACTTTGCTGCTGCTTGCCAACCCCCATTGCTGAATGTTCCAGCAAAAATCACAGCTTTCTCTCACCCTTCCCCACCTCCCTCTACTAGGCATCTTGCCTTCCTCTTTTTTTTTTTTTTTAAGAAAAGATTTTATTACGTTTTTGATAATTTCATGTATGCCCTGTACCTCCAATTTCTAATAAAAATGATTCCCAAGTCACTTTTTAAATTCTTTTATTAAAAAGGCTAAGGATTCCAATTTTCCCAGTAATGTTACTCCTGTGTGTGTTGTCCCTCCTGTCTTTTATCCCTGTCTCCTCCCCTCTGTCCCCTGGCCTCCCATCCCTCCTCTCTTGTCCAAGGTCCCCTCTCTCTCTGCTCTGCCATCCCTCTTCCCCTCTTCTCCTCCCTCTTCTCTCCTTCTTCCCGGTCACTTTTCTTTCTCCTTCCTCTTCTAATGTCTCTCTTCCTCCCCCTCCCTCCCCCTCCCTCCCCCTCCCTCCCCCTCCCTCCCCCTCCCTCCCCCCCCCAGCTACGTAGAAGCTCTTACACTGAGTTAGGACTCCAGCCCACTGACTGCCCTTTCTGCCCTGCTGTCTTTCTTCTCCATCCATGCTTCTTCCTCCTTTAAGTTGGAGGGGGGGGGGGGCAAGCTCCTACCTCTTGGCATTGTCATAATGATTAAACGACTTCATATGGAAGCAGTGCTGGAGCAGCATCAGACGCAACACAAAGCACCAAGAGTTGGTCCTCAGTGTGTGTTACTTCTCATATTTTTTTTCCTGTTTATTCTCATAAAATTTCCTTTAAAATTTTCTTATTGAGGATTTCAGTTGAATAAGTCAATTTAGATGCAAACAATCAGACACTTAAGCATGCATGGTCTGATCAGAGATAAGATAATGAAGGTCACCGATAGATGCATGGGTAAGAGGGCTTCATTCTCTCTTGAAAGATTTCCTAGTCCCACCAGTAATACGGGAATAGCAGGAGGCAATGGGACAGGAATGGGCATGAGCAGGCCATGAGAAACTCAAATGCATACGTTCCCTCCTTTCCCCTCATAGTTCATTCCTCCTGGGCCCACTCACCTTGTATTGTAGTAAGGAAACATATAGTCCTCTTTGGGGAACTGTAGAGAGATGGCCGAACTGTAGAGAGATGGTGCGTTGGAACATGTGCATGTTGGAATACCGCTATGCTGAAAGACTTCATTTTGGAACAATGTTAGAACATACCATGTTGGAATACACTGGGTTGGGATACATGTGAGAATATA